AACATTTTTTACTTGAGACTACAAGGAGTTTCATAATCATGAACTATCAGAAAGCTAGAAAACAGATGACTTTAAATGGGTCCTTGATATTTATCTTCCGATCATATGACATAATCACAAGATCATTTTACCCCTTATTCTTGTTCCAATATGAAAAATAAATGTTATTCCTACTGACAATTTAAAGAGAAATGAATAAATATTTCCATAATTAAAAGCCACCTGAGAAAGCATAATCTGTTCATTATCAAATTTGTATTGGTGAAATTTGTCTTAACATTCTACTCATTACATTTTCTTTAGTCACCAATGAGCATAAAATGACAGGAAATACAGTACTGCCAGTTAGAAGTATAGGTTCCCAAACTACAGTAAACACATCTTGAAAACGTAGTCCAATTCGTTTTTAATACAGTTAAACTTCCTGGCATTGGTCATTGTGCACATTCCTGGGTGAAGTCAAGTTGTACTGTTTTCACTTCAAAGAAGTGTATGGTATAGATGTGCCACTGATAGATATGGATACGACTAAAAATAAATGTACTATACGTGCCAATAAATCACCTAATCTACATAATTAATTAGAACATAGTCTATGAAATTCTGAGAAACTAAGTGACTCATATCCAAATAATACTTAGATAGTTTGGTTGGACTCTCGACTGATCTACTGCATTCTTCCAACTTGCTCTACACCTTGGAATCCAGCTTCCCATTCCACTGAACAGAAATTATTTGGATAATCCACCAAAATTGTTGAGGTAGATGGATTAGAGGACGCCAAAAGATATATACTGCTCCCAAAGCTTGTAGCAGAACAATGTGCTAGGCCTGGGGACTCCTTCTTTAGTTTTGAACTGCTGTACTGGGACAAAGCACTCACACTGTTGGTTGGGAAAGTAGGTATCCTTCCTCTGTGTAAACAAAATTACAGACTCTGTAAATAATAAATAATAAACCACTCTCCCATGGGTGGCAGAAATGCACATGCAGCCAGGACTAATTGGAACTTCCCAAGAAAAGAGAAGAAGTCAAGGATAGATTCTTCCTTCAATTCCTGATCTACTTTATCCAAAATAGTCAAAAGTATTTTACATTAAATCAGTGACTGAATCTCCAGGCAACAAGAGGAGAAGCAGTCATAAAGCCTTCTAGAAATACTTTGCTGCAAAATAGGAAATGATGAAAATTATGTGCTCCTTATAATGTTTCCAAAATGTTGAGATCTTTAAAATGTCACCACCTACAAAACACACAAAAACCTCCAAGAACATTCAATAAAACAGTATGCAGGCATATTTTGTTTATCAACTAACTAGTGCTAACTGAAACTCAACAACTGTCCTGGAAGCATAACCCTATCACACCAAAAAAAGCAGTGTAATATACATAATCCCGGGAAATGTCCAGCAAATCATCAGAAGTGAAAGTACATCAAGTCAGGCGTTCATCTGTCTTCACGTTTTTGATGAGGCTATAGTTTCTTAAGAGAAGCAGTAAACACATATTTACACTTGTATATTCTGTGCCTTACTTTATAACCTACTTAAGTTAATGTCACAATATGTAATTATGATTCAAAACTATTATTTATTTAAATAATAGTTTTAATGAATCTGTATTATACAATGACCACATGCATTAAATTAATTTTAAAGAAACTGAAACAGCATCATCAAGACAGAAAGCATTAGGATTGCAAAATGCACGTTGATACTACAAATTACACCAGAGAGTAATTGTTCATAACTTACTTTCCTTTAAAAAATCTACAAATAGAATAAGTGCTACGCTCATTGAATTCACATACCTACTTATACTCCACAGTATATGCATATGTATTCGTGTGTGTATACACGCATGTATTGTATGTATATGTATTGATACATACATGTACGTAGACACATACATATGCACTAACACATATTTAATTACATTCCCGTAGTTTCGTGCCTTCACATGTTGCTTGTATTTTTAAATGCTAAGTTCTTGTCTGTCGGAACAATCGTTCCTCGTGCTGTTGATGAACCATGTAATACAAAGGGGTTTGTCTCTGACTAACTTCTGCGTGCTATTGTGATACAAATGTGAAATAATGGTCCCTTGTGGGGATTTTTATAACATCAGTGAGTAAAGCATGATGACTCCTCTAAAATTTAATAAAAATTTATGATGTCACTCAAGTTTTGAAAATGTATTTTCCTACAATATATATGTCAAATTAGAGATATGTGAACTATCCCATGGGGTTAAAGTTATGCACAAGTTTTCAAAACACAACATTTTGCATGTCAGCTCCTCACAACTTTTGTAACAGGAAAATAGTTGAATATTGCATCAACACTGTGTCCTCACTATGTTTAGATAATGCTTTATAGATTCTGTGTGATACAACACTGTCAGTATCATGCAGTAGCTTAGATAAGGCAAATTATGTCAGAATATAACCTTTATGTCAGAAACACCCAAGCATCAGATATTAAGCTCATTCGTTTTCACTCTTTATACCTCTAGGGTTTTTATTCCTTTTTGTCTTATTTGTATTTTTTAAACACAAACTAAAGACACAATGAAGACGAAAGACATTCATCATACATTTTAACTAGATTACCTCTTAAATATTCACTACCATGATGTGTTCCAGTTTGAAAATCTAAAACTGTTCTAATTGTTTCACTTCCGAGGGCATCCCCTTTCAAAAGTAGTGATTCTGTTATTTAACAGATAACACATGTGTGCTTGCTGTTGATGCTATGGTTTCTCCCCCTATTTCCCAATTTAAAGAAATAAAGCAGGAATATTTAGAATGCGCTTTTTTTTTTTTTTTTTTTTTTTAAGATTTATTTAGTGGTTTATGAAGGAGATGGATTTGAGTTCAAAGTTTCTACCAGAGCACTGACTATCAGTCCGTGAAGGTAAAAGGGCTTGAATGGAGGAAGTTTACTTCCACCATGCAATGGACTGGTCTGTGTTCTCTCTTGACTTAAAATACGGTGTCCACAAGATTTATGGATACAGAGTGAAAACATTCCACCTTCTTGTTACAGAAAGAACTCCCATCGCAGAACAGACCCAAAGAAATCTATTCCAGGCAAAAGAGGAAGAAATGGTCAAAAGGTGAGAGAGGGGAAATGGGAAACAAGCTTTTCTGTGAGTGAGGGAAGAAATGACTGATAACACAACTCTGTGAAATTATCATGCAGGTGCTTTGCTTTGTACTAAATAACCAAATTCTAAATTTAGAAACTCTTAGTTCTGTCTGATGGTATCTCACATACATGTAAATAAATGCTCTGTGCTGAACTCTGGGTTCTAATTCACAACCTAGTGTTTTCTGGCCATATCATCTGAACTAGCAAAGCCTCAGGTAGAAGGACAATTTCATATTCTGGTCAAGCAGAAGAGTATAGATTGTCTTCTTGAAGGCTCAGCAGTTTGCATGTAAGCACCCAATAAAAGATTGCTGAAAAAAAATCTCAGTTTATTAGCTAGCCAAAGGAGTACAATGGTCCTTGAAATGAAAGATAGACGAGAGAGCCACTACAGTGCTTGCCTTTTGATAGCGAATCTGCTACGGTACTTTCTCTCCATGTATTCAAAAAGTAATTTCAGTAATATTTAGAATGCATACATTGCCTTTCCAAAACAAAGGGAAATGTCTTCAGGCAGGAACAGATCAAACTAGGGAAGCTAGGCTTAACTTACACTGACTTTAGAGTACTGAGCCTGGGATCAAGCATAGCTTTCTGACATGGCTTTGAACATTCACACTACTGCTTATAGGCTTTGGGCACCCAATGTTTTGCGGGCAGTCTGCATGTCCTATTTCTTCAGCATACGACGCATTCTGGCATATAAGCATATGCCACAGGAACAGATATGAGACACTGGGAATGCTAAGTCAGGCACAGTATATACAGATTTTTCTATATTCTAGGTAAATTCATGCTTGGATCCAAGGCATATAATGGTGCAAACATTTTTGCTCTTCAGAATTCACCAAGAATTGTTTCCAACCGAATTTGAGCATGGGTTTATGAATATGAGGCAAATTTGGACTTTCATATAACTAGGCTGATTATTGAATTGCAGTTCAGGTATACTCAAAATGATTGCACACCTGTCTCAGAAAGGTTCTAATTTCTATCTTCATTCAGTGAATATTAATATAGTATTATTATTTTTAATTTTACGTTGTGGGATTGGGACTACATCAGATAGCATACGGCTGTGTCTTTGCAAAAGATAAAAAGACAGAGGTGACAACTTTCTGAGCACACTATTAAGTTGCAAAAGGAATCAAAACAGTCTAAAAACAATGCCTCTGGAGATGTTCAGCTTCTTACAACAAGGGTATTTTAAATAGACTTGGTCTTATTCTCATCGCACTGAAACCAAGGAGAGTTTTAACATGAATTTCAATAGTAAAAAAGCTACATCACATTTAAATGTTTTTGGAAAGCCAATTTTATATTTGCATGCTGAAGATTCTTTTCTTGTCTTCTGTCGAAAGGGACAGAATAGGTGAGATTTTAGGGAGTATTTATGAAAGTAATTTCCTAAAAACATGTTAACGATCGTCACGAATTAATGGCTAGCTTGAGAAAAGGTGACCATGAGTGCAGAATTTGAAGTCATATTTCATTTATACAACTTTACTCTAATGCTTTGTATTTTATACCTGTGACATGCTTTGATGGTTTTTATGATAATTATTTTTATGTTGAAGACTTAATAAAAATAATAAAGAAATAAATTGGGCACCAGTTCATTATGAATTAATCTCTAGGACCCCTACCCCCCCCACCCCGCCCCAATGAATTGAAATTGAAATGTTTCACTCCTGTAACTTGAGATACCCAGGAACAGATAAGAACTTTAAACTCCTGCCTTCTTCTATTTGTGCATATTGTTCTACATTTCAAGTAGGCTTGCTTAAAAGACATTAGAAGATTTATACGCTTATATGCATAGAGATAAAATGAAATACTTGTTCATACCTTCAAAGTAACCAGCATTTATAGGCTGTGTCTTCCTTGGTGGTTTCACATGGAGATGTTTATTTTCATTGTTTTTGAACAACGCCAGGCGCACAGCTGGGTCTAGACGACAAGAACAAGTTAAAATCAAAGGTCAGACCTGGCTCATTCATTCCTTCAAGCAGTTTTTCACCTTTTAGCCACTTAATAAATGAAAATACCTTTAAAAGTAGGTTTTATATTCACAAAGAATTACACTTTCTAAAATAAAGCAGCATAAATACATGTGCAACTGAGAACCAAAGTCACTATTTTGCAGGATTTTAACACTGTTGCTCTTTTAGCTAGCTCATCCACAGATTAAAAATAAATTCTAAAGCATATACTTGCAGAAAGTATTAAAAGGATGGTTTTAAAGTTTGAAATGAAAGCAGAAATATTAACAGAATATATGCCGAGCACAGTTTCCAAAAGCTTTGGTTCAGAATTAGTCAGCAGTCTAAATCAAGTCATTTACACCTAAAAAATGTTAACAGGAGGCAGTTTACAATTTGAGGCTAAACTTGCAGATAATAAGCTAACCTTCTTCCACATCCCATCCTTATTGAAATAAAAACCACTCCAAAAGTCTATAGACTCATCTATATGCCACAGTATGAAATCTTGATTAGTTTCATAACTTTTATTTTGAAAACTTTGCAAAGAAGCAAAGATGAGCACAGAATTGTCTATAAATCTAGATAATACATGTTCCTGGACTGGAAAATAATATAAAGTTTAATTAACAAAAGCTAAACTAACGCAAAACTACACAAGTCAGGAAAGGTGATTTTCATGTGTTATACCTTATGTGAAGGAAGAATTGTTTGCTTGACGTAGAAGGAAAGTAGAGTTTAAGGGAAATAGTGGGTTAGAAAGAATGTGAAAATTCTATGCACAGTGCAGAATAAACCAGTCACTTATTAAGAAAAAAAAAGGGCTGAGAAGAATGTAGAAACAAAAGCAACTATACAATGACAAGTAAAAGTATATAAGATTCTGTAGGTATGACACTGAGCATGATAACTTGAGTCACAGAAAGCCAAAGGAAAAAAAAAAATAAAATAATTATGTTTCACATGGTTAAAAGAAGACAATAGCACAAGCAGACAAATACGCTCTCAGGAATGTCCGAGAAACAATGAGGCAGAAGAGGTTTGTCTACAAAGGTGACGACAAACTGTCAGGAAAGAGTAGAAATTAATAAAAGTAAAGAAGGAAAACAGCAATAGAACTTAGCAAGAAGTAGATTTGGCAAGGAAAGGATCTAAATTTTCACAAAGAATGCAAGTGTAGCAAAAATGAATATATGAGACACTGCCAGAACAGATAGAGCAGGAAAACAGAGGAGATGGAAAGACTCAAAGAACATTCAGACAGAATAAATTTACATGACTAACTACATCTGATGCTTTATTTTGAGCTTGTTAGATGACCTTGTTGATGTTTATTGAGAGAGTTTACAAGAACATCTATGATACTGCAGCAAAGTGAGTAGCTTTTTTTTGTTGTTTCCTTATTTATGGAAATAAAAGATCAGAATGCCCTGTTAAGTCAGTGGGCAATTTCTTATGAAATTTAACAGCAATTTAAAAAGTTGGTTTTGATTAGACCTCTATATAGACACTTCAGTTACAAACCAATGGGACATAAAGGGATCCTAAGAGCTCCACTTCTACTCAGAGAATGCTCTCTTGAAACAAGCAAGACGACGCAGACATACTGTATCTTTGCCTTATAAGCCCTGGGAAGACCTCGAATGGGCTGTGGATACTTTAAGAGATTAACGCATCAAAAAACCATGTCAAAATGTTATGGTATTCTTGGTCAGCCCCCACTGCATCAGCATTTGGTTGACAGAATGTTCTTAATGGTGCTAACCTCTCACAAAGCAGCAAACTTGACTCACGAAGGAAGCGTGGAAAAAATGGATAGAAGTAATTTAGGCCGTGCCTTCTTCCCAAGGCAGAATCAGCGATACCTTACACATTTTTTATCTCAAACTGTCTAGAAGAACCTCTCTCATCTTGTTGTATGATTATAGCTTCCAGTTTAACCCAGAGGATGTCAGATTTAGTAATTTTAACCCACTTGTACTAATTAAAGTATAAATTCAATGAAACGACCCAAGAAGCACAATAAATAATGGAGTTTTAAAGGTAGGTTATTATAACAATTCTGATAATGGGATCATTTTATTCACAAAGTGGATTACCAGGTTTGTAGATATTTTCACTTGGCATAGATGGATAAAGTAGGTGTATTTTGGCATGCCTCCCAACTCAGAAATAAATTTGTAGTGACCTAGTTTCTTCAGGGTTGCAAATGTTTGGGGCAGTAGACCACAGTAAGATTTGTGATAAAAGTATCTTGAAATAGCAATACATTATATTTTAAAAGTTGTCTCTGAAATTTAAATTAACAGAAGTTATAAAAATATTTTAAGTAAAATATGAATTACTATTGTGTTTTCTATACTTGTAAGATACATAGCCATACAAGTACTATACATAGATAAAAATGTACAGAATAAAATTTTGTGTGATTACAAATTTTCCAACACCCAGCATACAGTGTTGATACAATACAGGGTTGATAAAAAGACTTATAACTTCTTCTAGCTTTATGCTAGATATGAAACTACTGTATTTCTTCAATAGAAGACCAAATACAAAGTGACAAAATTGATTATAACCTCTTCAGACAATATGTGATTGAGGATTTCCAAACTATTTATGCTTAACTTAAAATAATTTCTGAGTGAGTCTATTGAAATAGTTCAAAAATATTTTAAAAATGTCATCTTTCCTTAATCCATCCCTCCACTCAATTCTATGAAAACTCCAATCAGTCCAAAGTTAAACTATACCAAGGACTTTTGGGTGAAGTCTCATGAAATTATTAGTGCCAACCTAGATTTTTCAAACATTTATTTGTGCAAAAGGATACCAGCAGTAAAGAAGGTCCATGAACTGGGAAGAGATGGAAATTGTTCTTCTGAGAGATTTCTATTAGAAGATTTATCTTTGAGTCTTTGCAAAATAACTTAAGTAATCTACAGGGATTTAACACAGTGCCAGACTACTTGAATTTGTGCCTACCTGGATCACCTCAACCATTGCCTACAGCTCTTTTGTTATTAAAAATGAGTCCTTTTCTTTATCTAGTCCCAAATGTAGGCAATATTACATAGATTACTTTATAATACTAGTGCTTTTCAGTCTTTAAGTGAGCTAGGGAAATGAACTGCATGTATGCTTTGATGACAAGCAATCAAATGTTTTAGATTTCACACAGAGAACTGTGAAAGAGTCCAATAGTTCAAAATGATACAAATATCTTCCTGGATTCTGGCATACTCATTTAAATGTGGCTTATTAAATGATGATCTGTGCTGGCAATCTAGGAACCAGGGAGGTAATTTAATGCACATTGCTTGGCTGACTCCAAATATAGAAGATAAGTTGGACAAACACAAGAAATGTTATAGAAACAATATGGAAGGAACAGTTACTGCCTGATCTGGCACCACATTTGCTAAACAACTTCTTGATAATATGTGAAACTGAAAAAAATTAAATGTTTGTCATTTGTTTTTGTTGTGCAATATCTGTAATTAGAAAAACATAAACATATCTGTGCCAACTTTAAAGAGTTGATAAATCAAAGTAGCGAAGAGTGACAGATGCTTATCTATAAGATATTTCAATTTGTAAATTCATTTGGAAGAAATACCACATTTTGTTATAATTGAACAGCAATTAGAACTCCAACTTGTCCATGGTTGGAGTTCCCAGATGATACTGCTACATGGAATATGCAAAACAAAAGTAGCTTTCTTTCAGCTACTAAGAAAATATAGACTAGTGGTCATTTATGTAATGTGTAACAAGGAATAATAATATCCACCAGATTTTTATTCCAACTGTTGTTAATTCAACAAATCCATGTTGTATAGTCAAATAATCTGTTTTGGGGTTGTGGGTTTTGAGGTTTGGGTGTAGTGGTTTGGTTTTTTTTTTTTAATTAGTATTGCATTGCTGTCTTAAATTCTAAACTAGAATTAAAAAATATTTGCTGACCTTTCTGAAATATCTTTATCATTGTGCTCTGGTTCTAGGAGTCAAGGCCCACTCCAACTACTTTTTACCTTTTTTTTTTTTTTTCCTACTTATGCGGCAGTAAGAGTTACCATCTCATGCTGTGAGTTACTGACAAAAGAGCATTCCTTTGGAGCGGAAATGGTTAAACAAGAAGTAATACAGCAGTGTAGGAGAGACAAGCTGAAGGACAAGGCTTCCAGCCATCTTAAAAGAAAAAGAAGTTAACCTTCAGAGGCTAATATAAAATGCACAGAATCAAGGAAATTCAAAGTTAAGCAAGAAATTCTGTACTGCAGTGCCAAGACATCTTTAGGAAGCTAGGATTGTTATGAGTCATAGACACTTAATTTTAAGCACAGTGAGGTGCAATAATGTCTGCTGTATTTAGATTTTTAATTAGAATTTCTATAGAATTTTATGCACCCATGATAAACAGAAAAATTTCTGACATTATGCCAGTTTTACTTGGCTGCAAAATTTCTGGTTTCTTGCCCACAGTTTTTGTATTATCTTACTGTAGAGCAAAAATAGTTGAAGCAGACACAGCTTACATTTGGTATCGTTAAAATACAGGCCACAACTTTATTTAACTACATAAACAAGCATACATAACTGTAGTGGATTAGGGCATAAAAGGCCTTAAGGCCATTAGTTGGTGGGACTGGTCTACTGCAATATAAGCATTGCCTGAATCACTCCTTATTGTAAGGTTATGCTACTTTAAGCTCTTCCTTGTAATACAAACCACAGGATTCAGTGCACTTGCTAGTATTTTCCATATTTTTTTCACTACTGAGAAGGTACGTGGCCAGATATATGAGGTCAGATACTTCTCAGTTACTTCTACATATCTACAGTTTAACTCTGTACTTCAGCCAGTCACTTTAGGTTTTGTGTCCAGGCAATGGAGAACTCTAAGTGCTTTTACAGTGAGATTCAAGTAGCCTGCTTTTGAATTATGTTTTAGGAGGAAATTAATAGGATTTAAGGTGGCTGTTTCTTTCCATGAAGGAATGCAGATGACTAGCTTAGATGTGGACTTCTATAATTAACCAAATAAATCCCATCACTGTTGCACTAAGAGAAGACAAAGGCTTTAGATGGAAAATGAAAAGGAATAAATTCCCACACCTGAGGATGCTAAGAATCGAAGCTGTTCGTGACTGTCCAAGTTCCAGTCCAGCAGATGCCTTGACTGTATTATAAAGCAACTGTAAAACTCTCTGAATGGAGGCTGATTTAACAATTTGTTTTTGTGACCCTCAGGCCTAAGGCAAAGGATTTTGATAGCATATGGAAGCAGACAGCATACTCTGATGGGCCATTTGTTCCTACAAAATTCATCAGTACCTTAGCATTACCTGCAACTAAGATCATTACCACGGAAGAGCTCAATGGCATATAAAAGAAGTTTGGGATGATGCTGAAATCTTAGCATAAAAGATATCAGATTATTTGTTAATAGCTTATAATTTATTTGTATCTAGAACCTGTAGATGTTGTTGCTTTGCTTTTTCTCAGAACTTAAAATTTTGCTTTTAAGTGAGATGCGTAATAGTAAATGGATCTAACATGGAAAATTGATTTTTACACCTTATAACTCACACTTCTAAGTGGATGCTGGCTACTTATTTTCTAGTGGGTCGGAATCTGTATCACTACCAAAATTATTTTATTGGAGTTAGCATACCTTAAACTATTTTAAATCAGAAAGCTAAGAAGGAAACTGTTGCAATTACAACCTGGAATTAGAACCTGGAAATTCAAAAGAACAGAAATAATAATACTAAAAATAAATCCTTCAAGATTTCACATGCAGCTTCAGTAAATACAAGATGGATGAAACTCATTTCAGAGGAGATGAAGGTGACAGGATGCTAATTTCTGTGGAAACATTAAAAGACAACGTTGACATCTACTTATTCAGATGAATTTCAATCTGCTTTTAAATATTAGAAGGAATAAAGTCGCTTATGGAATTCCTGCTTCAGTAGGGTTAAACTCACAGCAATGGCCTAAGATTGTGAACTCTCTCTCTCTAGTTACACTGGAATTGCTGTAAGTATTCTAACATGAGCTGTACCACACAGAGATCCAGGAAAGATACTGGCAGCCTAATGGATCTGGTTACAGTTTCCTGATCTGGAGCTGACTAGCCTCAGGATAAGGTATATCTACTCTAATTTCAATGCTGTAAAGTCCCTCTGTTCAACCACACTCTCGACAAGACCCTGACTTGCTCTAACCACTTCAGAGGAGGTAGCTGATGTAAAACATAATTATATACGTGGAGATTCTTCTCACATGGGGAATATTCTATCATCAGGATCATTTTTTAGTGCAACAGCTGAGTTTTAGCATGAGTTTGAAATGAAAATACTTGTTTTAATTTATAATTATTTGGTTCTTCCTGACCAAGGAAGGACTGACTTTGTCAGTGTGCTGTACGAGAAAGAATAGTTGGCTTGATAATCTTTGTACTGAAAAGGGATTGAGTATGTAGTATATTTAGTAATATTTCTTGGTTCTGGAAGTTACACTTTCTGCTTAACTGAAAAGAAGAATGTGATTTTAATGACTGTCAGAGAAACCTATACAGGATAATTATGTATACAGGTTATTTTTGTGCTTGTTGTAATAGAAAGATAAAACATTCCTATATGAGGTAGCATCAAGAAGAGAAAATTCGAAGCTATAAAAACATTGTGCAAAAGTTTTGTTAATTTTTTCAGCAAGAGTAATATACTTTGAGAATATTCCATGTGATATATTAAAAAGCTCAACACACATATACCATATTGAATAATCTGAACAAAGTGACTATAAACATAGTAAAAAAAAACACATTAGAACTACAACAAAAATAGGATAGCAAATCTGATATGCTCAATCAGATATTTATGACTGGATTAATTACTACTCACATAAACCAGAAAGCATTTGGAGAAAAGATGATATAACCTAATAAGTTCTATTCTTTAAAAAACAAGACAGAGGCCACCAAATGGAACATACGTAGAAACTCAGTTGCACACATGATATTTACTTTTTTCTTTTTTTTGGTAACACAGTAGGGCATCATGAGAAGTCATCAAAATTTAAATAGAATTACTTTAACAAATTATACTATTTTTTTTTTTACTAGAGATCTTTTTTATCATATGTAGTTTTAGGCATGATATTTAAAGTAGAAAAAATTATATAGAGGAAACCTTTTCTTAACTTTATCTGTAGGCTGATTTTTTTCCATTCCAAGAGCAAAATGTGTTTCAATATTTTCAACACTTAATTCAGAAGAGATTTGCAAAGTTATACAAATTAACTGTAGCTTGTGATACAATTAAAAAAAATTCAATGTAAATAAAGGTACACTTTCCAAAGATCATTTAGAGTAAAGGTTCTACTGTCAACCAGGCTCATACACATTTGAACGCTTCTTATACTAGCAGTATTTTATTAATATTTTTATTAACATATTCCATTAACATTTGTATTAGCATACTGTACTAACAGTTGACAATTCTAAGAAAGGTTAATTGACATAAGTATCTGAGAAGAACGAGAAGACAATTACAGCTGCATAAGCATTATCTATTTCCACAGTGAATATTTAATACAAAAAATATGATTTCATTTCATATATATCAAAATGTCATTTTCATAAATACTTCCTGTATAAGTCAATAATTTTAACTCAATATTCCCCAAAGAGGAAAAATACAAGGACACAAAATGCAGAAATGTAAATTCCACATCTAGAAAAAGAGATACATGAACAAAAAGAAACAAAATTTCTGTTTAACATAGCTGTCAAATATTCAACTTCAAAATCCAGTAGAATGCTTTTTAAAATCTGAATAATTTATCACTGGAACAAACTGATTTCTTTACAGAGATTTAAACTGAGTTGGTTTTACTGAATCACACTCCACCTTTATTCAAATTAATGTTTAATGTTGTGCAAACAAACATTTTAGAAGAGAGATACTATTTTGAGACTTAAGAATGGAAACATTACATCAATATCACCACTTTTTAACTGTTCACTTACCGAAATTTTTATTACTGTATTTTTTGGGCTTCATTTTATGGGCTCTCTTCAGCATAAGCTGTGCAGTAGAAATATCCTTAAAACCCCTAGGGAAGGAGAATAACTTACTAAACATTTCACATATATTATGTTACACCAGCTGCATATCATTGTATAAAGCACTTTTCAAAAAGAATACAAGTGTATAGTACTTGTGCATGGTATGAAACTTTCTGAATTGCACAGATAGATAGCTGCAACGTTTAACATTACATTATTGCAACTTACTAAGCTGGTCTCTCAGACACTTGTAAAAGTAATTACAATAATTTTTACTTTGGTAGAAAACAGAGATTCTTCAAAGGTGAAACTTAAAAAAAAGCAAGCAACAACAGTCAACTATACTGTACTTATTCCTGGCAGTCACTATGTAAGCAAAATAGCTTAACATACCATTCTTCTGAAATTTTCTCTTCTTTTTCAGACATGAATGAAAATTTCTTTTTTTCCTTCCAGTCAGAGAGCTGTGACATTGTTCCCTTCCCGGACCTGAAAACAAAGTATAAGAGTGGTGCTGAAAGGTAGGTAAATAAGGAAGGATCTCGGGTGACTGTTTTGCAGCCTTTGTCATCCTGTAAGTTGTTTGTGCTTCTAAAGGCACTTTTGAAGCTTGGAAATAATACAGAAAATCTATTTTAATACTCCAGGAAGGCTTTATCTTGGAGAGTAATAAAAATCTGCCATCAATTTGAAATGTTTACATTTCAATTACTTGAAGCATATTTCAGTCCTTTCTCTCCAAAAGAATGCAGCTGTGTAAGAAATCCCTTTTAATCTTTATCTAGTCTTATAAATCTCTATTTCAACATCTATGCTGTGATATATATGAAAAAATACAAGTTTTATGATTTATAGTCAAACCTAGATAAATAAAAATACACATATATATACTTATATTCTTAATTCTGGTAGTCAATGAAGAATAACAACTGAATTTAATATATTTGGTTTTAACAAGTAAATACATTTCAATTCCAGTAATATCATATTAACCAAAAGTAGCAAAAGCATCAGAAAACAGCTTCAAGTTGTCTTCCTTTTGATTTTTGTTGAATCCAAATGAACTAAATACAATGAAAAAAATATATTAACTTACCTGCTATGACAGTGGATATTTTCTGCAGAGTATGAATGTGGTCTGTTAACACACTGCCAAACTTCATGTGGTGACAATGGCAAACTATTTGAATGTTCACTGGAATTTGAAGGCCTAGAATAATTCTAAGTAAGAGAAAGAAAAAGAATGCAGTTGGTGATTCCTGCAAGTTTGAGTTCAAAATGTGCAGGTAAACCTGCACCAGAGTTTGTAGAGGCTATTACTATAACAGAAAGTGTTCTTAATGGTGATATGCCCATTACAGACCTTACCTTCAACTAACTGAATAGGGCAAAAAGGTGACTTTAATTATACTTAATGTCCCCAAATAAAATCAAAGAATTGTAGATATAATGAATTATACATTTATAAGACTCCTTTCTTGTAATCGTAGGAAATAAAACATTAGTAATACTACGCTTGTAACAAGAAGAGAAAACCCTACCAAAACAAAAAGCTAAAACTTCAAAGTTTATGAAATAACTAGCAGACATTACAGTTCAATGACCTTTAGCTGTTCTGAAAACATTCAGCTGTTGTCATATAATGCAGATCTTAGTATTTTTAAAGTAGTGTGTCAAGTAGCAATTTTTAATCCATTGCCAAACGTACAGATGAAGCACATCATCTTTTTTTCTGCTACTGTGAAGTAAAGTGTTGAAATAAATCCAAAATAAAGAAGAAACTAAGCAAATGAAAGAAAATCTAAAAGAAAAATTGCATCTGGAGATGAGGAGGAAGTCTGAGACTTCTAAAAGTAATTGTGTTTTTCAAGTCAATAGATTGTCATATTAATCACCCCAGAATAGCATATCCTTAAGGAATGAATAAAGACTGAAGAGTAAGAAGTTTCTGTGACATGTTACCTTTGGCCAGAGCAGCTGGTTTGAGAGCAGGAGTGTTTTTGAAGGGAAACGGGTGGAATCTAGAGTTAGCCATTCCTTCTCTAATGCAGCCTGCATGAATGAGTAAAGTCAAATAGTGCACTGATAAAATCAGTTTAGTTTTGATAACTTTTGCAAAGTCTCTTTTAAATTGTCTTACATACTGTTTCAAGTGTTTTCAAGTCGTATATCAGAACTGCCACCTGCAGAGCAACCGCACTTAAAACACCTTTGGAGATGCTGTGTTGTACTGTTTTATTTTAAACAGATCAGATTAACAGTATTTGTGGGTTGTGGGTTTTTGGGGGGGGGGTTGGTTTTGGTTTGTTTTTTAAATAAGATGCATCCCCTCCTTCTCAAATTCTTGTAATTTTATCCCAACACTGTTAGTAAGCCCAAGTTATTAAAAAAGACTGCTAAACTCTGAAAAAATACAAACCTAAGGTACTTAAAGGCCTTAAGAACATGAACAGCTTTGTTTGCTGCTTTTGACTAATTGAGTATTTTATATCCAGATGTAGGTGCCTGATTCTGTCAGACTTGCTTTTGTTGAGCTGAACTGAATTGGTGAATAGTTTTCATTGAAATCTGAGGTTAAAAAAAGTGAATGCTATATGTACTTATTCCTTCAATTAATCATTTTCATTTTGATGTAATGGAATAATCTGGAAACTAAAATAATAGTTTGGAAGGAAGAGGGGTGACAGTATTAGGTGCTAACTGGTGTCACTAGCACTTCAAGGCAGAATTCAGTTTTCTTTCATAAAACCAAAATTTTGTTTCAAACTCAACCTGTATATGACTTATTTTTTCTTACACGCCCTTGAGTTTTTTGACCACATGTTCTTTCAATATATTCTGATAAGTGAGAGGAGTAAATTACTCCCACACAGTAAGTAAATACCTTTGAAGAATTTGGCTTCACTTACACAGAGCTCAGTCATTCAGGCTGTTCTTACTTTAGCAGCAAATAGCCTGGAGTTCATCTTTTGAAAATGTCTAATTTATAAAACCAGACTACCTTTCTCTCATTCATAGAATATTTCAGATTGCACTGATTTCTGACCCTGAGAAATTATCCTAACGTTGGATACCTTACTGTGTAGTTTGCGTAAACAGGACTTTGCCTTCAGTTGGTGAATAAGAAGGTCTTCCAAGCCCTTTCAAATTATGAGAGATAAAAGGATCATATTCCAGCTATTTTGAAAAGGTTACTTCAGGTACTGGTTGCATAACTAGGTGACTTTAAGATCACTCTTTTTATTTATAAGGTAACTGTGAACCAGTATTATTCTTCCATTGTAATCTAGCTTTTTAAAATAAATTTTCAATAAATTTTAATTTATTTTCATGTCTTACAAGGGATGCATTCTTACATCTTTTATTCCTTGTTTCTGGAATTCCCTGTTCTTTGATTACAGTATGTTTTGGTTTTCATTCTTATATTTAATACATACAAATAAATTCTATGCCCTCAGTATTAACAGATAATGTCTCTTTACCACTCTCCCCCTTCTTACCATTTCAGTTCATAATAAATATACATTATCCTTTTTATCAAACCTCCTCTCAGGTGGTTGTATATATTAAGAAATCTATGTAAATAAACTGTGGAGGCATGCAACAAATAAAATGTATCATCACGTTCTTTAACTGTTACATTTACCTACAACCCACTAACCTATCTCTCCTCAGTGATTACTCTTACGCTGATAACCACCAAGTGGTTGATACAAACAATTTTCAGTAAAAAAAAAAAAAAGTCACAGTTAAAATCTATTCCAGAAGTAGCCTGTAGTAAATCAAATCAAATTCCAAAGGCGATCATTTAAATACATGAAATTGGTACAATTCAGACATAGAAGCTGACAAGTTCGTATCTCAGCAGACACAAAGCTATGACATATTCAAGTTTTGCAGTTGCCTTGGGTCTATGGGCAGAATGGTCAAAAGGAGTAACTGAAAACTTGACCAAAAGCTGTCAGTGAAATGGGGTATTATTCCTCTTTGTAGTCCTTGAATTTACTCTTCAATTGCACTACTTGAAACATATTTCTAGCCTTTCAGATGAGACTTTTTCACTTATTTTCTAAGTGTGGGCGTGTAATCCAGTCACAGGTAAACTCAATGTCTGCACTGACATGACTTCAGCTTTGCTGGTATATAAAGGTTGAATTTGAAAATGGCAAATTTCTGAAGTATTTTTTTTTCCTCCTCTATTTGCAAAAGAGTCAATACAGCTGGGAGAGGGCTAGGTTTCCACTTCTCGTACAATTTAAATATATTAAACTTATATAATATATCAACTTATCTGGTGTGTTAAATATATTAAACTTATATAATATATCAACTTAACTGGTGTGTACAATGATGTGTCCATTAATTACATGGGTACTTAAATGTCTTACATTAGCAGTGCATACGATCCAAGCTCTACTGTCAGATTTCAGGGCAAGCTTGCATCTTAGCTATTTGAATTTTTACCTCTCTGATGAAATTGTTTGCAACAGATATCAATAAAATCATGAAACATAAAAACTAACACTCCAAAGCTGTAGTCAATTTTTTGGGAACAAGAATCACTTAAGTAGTACACTGATTGAAACCTTTTGTTTTATAGTTGTACCATAACGCAATTAAAGTTCTTTGTTCTTAATATTTACACTGAAACTTTTCTCACAAATATTTTCTTAGTCCAGTGTTTGCCATTTATTAATTTAATAGTCTCCACAGTGTTTTTATTTTTCATAGCCTATAAAATGTCTTTCAGCATTCTAAGTTTTGAAAAGAAACATCAATGAAAATATAAAAGCATGATTCAAAGGTATAAATATGCAAGACACAAAAAAACCCAATCTGACTTATGGTTAAGCACATTGGCACTCCTATGTGTATCATACTACAAAAATATACCGCACTGCTGTTTGCTTTGGCCAACGAAAACCCCAACACATTATTGATTTTCAAATATATGCTCTTCCGCTATGTTTATCCCTAGAGATTTTGACAGCACTAAGTTCAAGAAACTTCTGTCCATTATCTTTCCCATAAACACAGTCCTAAATAATAACTAATGCAAAGTTTGTGACAGATTTACCAATACCTAAAGCTAAAAACTAGATCCATTTCTACTGACATTGTTCACTAAGAGAAAAAAAAAAACAATATCTGAGATGAATTACAATGCAAATAAAATGATAATGTTTGATTGTATGGTCTACATAAACAGTTATAAGAATACTATATTTATGTTTAATTCTAAAGTCAAATTAAGGAATTGATTTCATAAATACTGAGCTATATAACATAGCTTTACACATATATGTAAATCACATACAGTTGCCTTAACACATATTAATTAATATCTTTTACACTTCTGGATCCTTCATAATTTATTTCCAGTGTTTGTTTCAAATCAAAGACTGTATTGATTACCTTAAAAAAGTATCAATTTTCACAAGCGCGCAAAACAAACATAGACCTTTCTAATTTTTTATTAAAACTTCACAGAAATAAATTCACTTTAGCTTACTGTTTGAAATAATTTTTAATACTTGGTAAATGTTTCAAGGGTTTCTGTCATTTGCAGGGGTTTTTTTGCTAGATTTTATATTAGTTTTCATTTAGCTCCTCCTCAGGACACAAACAAGATACTTCCAAAACTAGAAAGAATACAGACTGCCAAATTCACTATTGAACACAAGACAATTATCCCTGATAGTGTTCTTCAACAAGAAGGTGTGAATATATTTGGTTTTGGGGTTTTCTTTTTGAATTTTAAAACTTCCATAGTATTAGCTATTTCCATTTATCCATTAGGATCAAGAACTTTTTACCCTGATTCACCATCCATTTTTTACCCTTTGGGAATGTAATCCTACAGGTTTTTTTCTCCTCTTTGATTTTGTAGCTCATCAATGAACTCTGGAAGCTTAGGGATTTCTTTTCCTAGCATATTATATACATAACATTTTTCATTTTGTTATTCCTTCATTTTTCAAATATTTCTGTCCTTTCCTTTGCAAAATGTAATGATTGTTTACCAGCAAACATTAAACTTCTGTGGTCTCAGAAAGATAATCCAATCCTACAACCACCAAAATCAGTGAAAATGGTTCTACTAACTTTAATGGGGACTGAATGAGCTACTGAAAAGGAGAATTTTAGTGTAAACTTTATTTATACAATCTAATTCTAGACATCTTTTATATGCTCTGGATTACATTCTGAAGCTACATAATCTTCTATAATGGCTATACATATAATTTGGGCTGTTCTGAGTCATATTTAAACCATGAACAAAAAACAGCTCACAGGACACAGTGTCAAACCTACACTCAGCCTTGAAGCACTCCTACAAATAACTGTCCAAACTGTGAATAATGCTATCACATACTGCCTTTCATCTCTCTTAGATCAAGGAGGATCACAAGAGTATAATAAAAAAAAAACCAAACCCACAATCCCCCAAACTGTACTACGGTTAGAAGCAGAGGATACAAGAAGGCACTAACAATACATGCTGAAAAGAAAGCATTTGATATGTAACAACTCTGTTCTGGGTCAGACCAATTATCTATCTACATCAGTACTCTGCTTCCAGAAGAGTTTAGCAGCAAATGCTTATGGAAAGAATGAAAGAAGCTGGACATGTTGAGGACAATCCTTCCCTTGGTATATTCTTTCAAACTTTGGAAATTGGTGGTTTAAGGACTTTCTGTTAACATCTAGGAAAAGAATTCTCAACTTAAAACAGTAATCTAACTTCTTATGACAAATAAAACCATCCAATCAGTGTGTTTGCAAGTTTGTCTCTATATCAATCCAGAAAGAATGCAAATCATTTACAATACTGAGAGCATGTAACTGTTGAAGTTGTGTAGATTAACTCCAAAAGGCCAACATGTTGGCTCCCATGGGCACTGAAGCTACCTCAGGTTTCCAAGCATGGTGGACCTCCGAATTACAAGATGAATCACCATCTCACAAAACCGTGAAACTATTTTTGCAAATTAGGGAGAACTAACTCTTTATATCTCTTTCCTTTCTTCTGTCATTTCCTCGTTGACTCA